AGTTGTTTCTGATCTTTCCACAAACTTCCCAGTCTTACGTTTCTTTGTAATCATTTGAAGTCATCAAATTTGGAATTAGTGTATATTTACAAAAATCAATGAAGTAAAATATGAAAAATTTCAGCTTTGTGCTATTTTTAAATAAATACTTGTAAACAACAGTTTGCAAATCACTGCTCTCTGTTTTTTGTTTGCATTTTATCTACAGTGCCAACATTTTGGAATTAGGATTGTGTTTGTTGTATAGTACTGGCTGATACTGGGCTTCAGCGATGAGTCTTTCAGTGTCCTTAGCATTCAGTTCATTTCACTGCTGCGGTCGACAGCAAAAGCTGGTAAAATTGAACCCAGGACGTAACATAACGTTAACAGCTATGATTAGCAAAATGTTGCCACAGGCAGTGGCAGAATTTTCCATTGTGGTGCCATTAAAAACAATGAAATATCATGTTTGCTGCTGGCCATCTACCACCAACATGTAAACTCAGCATAAGAAGTGGACAAATTCAATTATGGATTTGATATTTTACTTATTGATAGAGGCTTTTATGTCATTTTCTGTTAAAAAAAAAAAATCTGCTTTTTTTCCCCAACACCGAAAAATGAATAATCCCCCGCCTGGGCAAGCACCCTACTCCACATGTGTCAGGATCCAGTCTTCATGGGCCAAAACACTGCAGATTTCAGCACATTGCCTCATTAAACACATCTGATTCAGCTCGTCAGCTAATTAGCAAACCATACATGAACTGAAGTCAGAATGTTAGATGAGGGTGAACGCTGATCTCTGGAGCACTTTGGCCTGGAATGTCACCAATTTGACATGCCTGACTCCTAACACTGCCTCTCATTGCCTAACTGTGTAAAAAATGGTCAAATTGAAAGTCTGGATAAGAGCATTGGCCAAGTGCCGTAAATGTAAGATCAAATGTAATAACTTGTACTTAATGAATGTTCTATCTAGAAATTAAAAGAATAAATGGGTGGTCCTGACCTTGGCACAGTCCTGTACGATTGAACTCAGTGGGTTATTTTGGGTGTAGTTTGAGTCAGTAGTTCTTTTCTAAGTACAGAGAAACTGTCTGCAGTAATCGACTACATGCTTTAGATGCAGCAGATAGAGACTAGCTTAAAGTAAAATGGAGTGCTCCTTTAAATCAGAGCAGTGTTCGCTTGGCATGAAAATTGATCTGCTCATTGGCTTTTTTTGGGAGGTATCTGCCGCTCCCTCTTTGGAGAACAGGCCGTTTATGGAGCATGCTCACAAACGGCCACACCGCGTTTCACCGATCGATGTGGATGTTGCATCACTGCCTGCCGTTGATAAGAAAAACCCTGCGATATTTATTCACCTTTTTTCGCTCTCTGGGGAAGGGCTTGGGGTTACTTTTTCTCATCATGTCTTGTGTTATTTTTTTCCCCAATTGATTCCCTGTTAGAGTCAAGACAGTGGTTTTAGATTATACCTCAACCTGACATTTATATGGAGAGGACTGAAGGGAAAATCAAGATTAATGTTTTCTGCGCAGTGGAATAACATGGATCTGAAAAGAGTGCAAGTGTGGCACGTAGTCTTTTAACACGTATCAAAGTGGGTACATGTGCCATGTGAAGCCGTCTACTGTAGATGTCATGAATTATAGATGTGTGAGTGTAAAATTTGCCCAAGCCTGTGGGAACTTCCAGCCTATGTCTTCCTCTATTTTTAGGCCCTGATTAACAATTGAATTCACACCAGCACATACAGATGTAGGAGGATGCTCCGCAGGAAATTCACCTTGGAATTCCACATGCTTCTTGGGCGCATGGCAATATGATTTCACGCCACATTTTACCATATCTAATATTTGTTTTGAGATGGTAATTTGAGCGTTCGCTGTTAAATGGCTGGCTGTTTCCTTCCCCTTGCCTTTGGGTGTTCGAAACGTGTCAGAATATTTTCTTCTAGGCATAAAACAGTTTGCAAACTAATGAGGGCTGAGTTTCACAGAGGTACTGCAGCATCGTGCTCCGGTAATCTATCGGGCTCCCTCGTTTGGTTGTGGTTGCTCTGTACTGCTGGCGAGAGAGGATCAAATTGAGCCAATATGGTTCAATATCGGTAATTCATGTTTGAGTGTATTTTTGATATCTTTATGCTGTCCTTTAATCTGGTGTTAACAAAGACTTGAACTTTGAACAGTTGCTGCTTTGATACACTAGGTGGCGATGTGTCATTTATACTCAGCAGTTGAGGAGTCATCTAGCCATTCACTCACAACAGCACAAACCAGTGGAGTTAGTAGGAATCTATATGTAAAATGACCGCAAGCAAGTTTCACTGACAGTTTTGTTGTTCATCAGTTTCATCTTTCTATGATGAAACTCACATCTGGAGTGTAACTTTGAGCGTAATAGTTTAACAACCAGGAAAAAATGTTAAACTAACCAGCTGTTTTTAGTATCATCTATAATACCATTAACCAAGTTGTGGACTCGAGTCATATTACTTGGACTTGAGTCCGACTCGAGTCATGAATTGATGACTTTAGACTTGACTCAAGAAAATCTAGAAAGACTTGGGACTCAACTTTGACTTGAGCACCAATGATTCGGACTCGGACTTGAGCGTCATGACCTGGAAACACTGGAGACCCAAAGTGGAAGAATCATGGAGAGTCTGACTGCAGATGGGACTCTTGCTGGAGTCTTACTGGAGAAGCTCACCAGGCGAACTGACCATTTTCCATATGGTAGCAAAACAAAAGAAACAGCTCTCTATGTTTGACAGATTTTAACAGCTTCTGCAGGTAAAACAATCGCAAAACATTCACAACATTAACTAAAGTTGAATTTAACTTAAATTTTGTGTCAGTTAGGCACCGGAACATGACTGCTGCACCATTTAAGGTGGAATGGAAAACTTAAATAAGAAGGTGTCGAAAAAAACTTCCGCTTCGTACATTCACCATCATTTTTGTATTTTCTGTAAACTTTTATTCAGCTCGGTCATTTTGGTTTCTGTTGTCATCTAAATCAAATTTAAACTAGTTTTTTTTTAGTTGGCTGAGCTGGCTTTTATTTTAATCCTGTGCGCCCAATGTTCCCAAAAATCATCAAAAATGATCTTCAAATATTATGAGCAAATGCTGCAACTATTCCAGGTTCCATTTTAAGACATATTACACTGTGTTTTTGTACTATACTACTGACTCCTCCCTCAAAAAACTGAAACATCTGCATGAATTGGGGCGTGCTTTATGTAAATGATATGTAAATGCGATGCTGGTTGGCTGGCGCTTGATTTCATGCACTGCAGCTGATTCTTCACTTGTGGTCAAATCTCTGCTTGTTTCCACGTTGTACAAAAGTTTCATGAATCAGACGAAAAGGAGTTTGTACGTCACTAAAGGCAAACCTGAGATCTTTTTAGGCAACTTTGGTACATAAGAACCAATGAGTGCAGATGCTTAGAAGCAGGTGTTCTGCATGATGCAGTTAACATCCTACAATCCTGAACAGGCCCAGTTGACCTTGATTTTGGACCAAGATGGACAAGCTTCAGTTACAAAAATTGCTCAACTGGCTGGTGTTCAGGGTAGGAACAGCGACTAAAGTGACATCTGCATTTAGATGTCACGTCTCTGGGAAGGAATCAGTAAACAAGACCAGAAATGGTGGTTGAAAATGAATATTCAGTGAGCGTGATGCTCGTGCATTAGTGCGATATGTAAGGAAACGACGTTTTTAATTAGATTTCCATCTACCAACATAAAAAACGGCAATAATTATCTTATACTGATATCGTTCATGTCTGTGACTGCTGATTGGCTGTATTTATTCCAGATATTAGCTCTGATGGAAGTTAGAACCAGACACTTGTATAAGATGTATAAGATTGTATGTATAAGAGTGGAGCTTAAAAAACTAAAAAAAGAGCAGACTTTTATTTGAAAAATTCCCAGAATAATATATTTTTTAGTTCACTCTCTGTGGCTTCAACACCAGCTAACCCACTGGTTAGCTCCCATTGACAGAATGCCATGTTAGCATTTGACTGACAGCTGTCTTCTTTGACAGTGATGTGGCTTGAGAGTGACATTTTAAGAAATGGGACATTATTAAAGATGTTTCAGCCAAGAAAAGGGGAGAAAGAGGGAACAGTAAGCTTCTTTTATTTACTGTTCGTTTTGAACAGTTCTGTTTTAATTGGGAAAGGGGCTAATTTGCCCCATGGCAAACAAATCTGGCTTGTTTCGGTGATGGTAATGATTTTACAGAGAAAACTCTTAAACCAGTGGAGAAGCATGGCAGATCAGACAGAGCGCAGTTATAGCGCAGGAGAAGTTAACATTTTATATTCTGAAAGTCTTTGTATCATTTTAATGGAACAAAACTTTTTCAAACATCAGTTTTAAACATTTTGTGGATTTATTGCGTTTGGTGTCAGTTAACTTACTCTTCACAGTCTTACTGTTTTTACAGCTTAAATGTACGTTGTGAAGTATGACTAGCAAAGATGATTCGCTTTTTTCATGATTTGTCCACATCAGTCGGTGACCTGTTGAGTTATTCTGATTTTATGGATTTTAACTACACCTATAAGGCCCAAGGCCACCTGTTAGTCCCGGGGCCCACAGGCAGGTCGGCCCTGGTTATCCGTGTTCCATGGATTTTATAGTTTACTTGGAAATAACAACTTAATATACAGCCAGATGCTGATTAAAAGGCTATATTACTGTTACTGTAATTTTTGGTGTTCAGTGTTGAAATGGCATCAAATTTGCATCAAACGTCTGTACTGACAAAGTTTGGAACTATTTGATGTTTTCCTTTGACTCAGGACTTTGAATCGAGACTTGATTGTCATGACTTGGGCCTTCACACAACACTCAAAACTCGAGACTAACTTCTTACTTGCAAGTGACTTGTTCCCACCTCTGGTTATCTCCTTACTGTCTACCATGCTTAAACCCAAAGGCTGCTGCCTAGTACCACTGAGGAACTGTTGTGTTTTGCAGGTAAGGAGGTGAATAAAGAGCTGTGTGCTGATGCGGTCTTCCCAGCCTCAGTGCCCTGCGTGGTTCCGTGCCCTAAAGACTGCGTCCTCAGCCCCTGGACGCCCTGGTCTACCTGCTCCCAGACCTGCTCCAGCAAAACGGCTGAGGGCAAGCAGATGAGAACGAGAGCCATCCTGGCCTACAATGCTGGAGAAGGTAACTTGGAGTATATTATCATATGTCTTCAGATTGACCCTTGATTTTGTGCTTAGGTTATGTTTTTCATGTATGTGCATGTACATCTAAACCCCCCTCCTCCCCACCATGGCAGGCTTGCTAGCAGTTTCTGAGCCAATGTGAGTGAATTTTTGTCTTTGTCTTTGCAGTGACTTCAATGGTAGTGGCGTGGATAACAGTTATGGAGGGTAACACCTATAAAAATTAGATTATTTATAGATTATTTGTAGATTTAGAACTGATGTGACTTCACAGAACTCTTGCCATGGACTCTGAGACTTACATGTGTAATATTTATCTTATCTTAAGGTCTTACAAGGGTTCCAAAGTTTCCTGAGCTCTATGGTACAGTTGTTTACTTCTTGCGTAGTGTTGATGTAGACGTAGTGTCGTTGTAGCTCGCATGTTTACAGCTTTGTATGTTTTGCAGTGGAAACCTGTCACTAGAAAGTGTTTGTCAGCCCCTTAGAAATCCCTAAAAAACCCTGTCTGAAGCGAAGAGCGCGATATTAGCATGCCGCAAACGAGACCATGAGCATTACTCGTGTTAGATCATTTGCTTGAATGGGTTTGCTTTGAGGAACAATTTGCAGGAAAATGCCCTTGTGGGATGAATAAATCCCCCCACTCAGAAGACAAACATTACTTTTATCTTTATCGTGACTGTATGCTGTCGGCCTTTTCTGTTTAGCAGACGTCCGCCTCGCCTCGCTCGCTAACGTTCAAGGCACGTATTAAATGCAGTCATTCATGCAGAAAACCCTTTATGCATTATGGATGCGTTTCAGAGTGGATTTGAGTAAGTCAGCAGAGGACTGAAATTTATACCGCAAACATGAAATTTAAAAAAACAAAGCAGTGCTGGAGCTCTTGGCCCTCTGGGGTCTCTCCCAAAATACCACAACTTCATCGTATTGACTCTGGACCTCAGGGACTTCAGTCTTCAGTCTTCAGCCCAGTTCTGTCCGTTTTGACTCCGAAAGTCTGGCCTAGCACCAAGATTTGGAGAGGGCTTACGACGTCTCTTCAAGGCCGCATGGCTAAGCTATCATGAAATGCTGCAGTTTTCCATGCACTCTTACCAGTGAGGGTCAAGGCAGAAGTAGACTAGAACAGTGGATTCTTTTTAACTAGACTGACCAAACCACAGACGCATGGAGGGTGAGTGTGTGGCGGTACCTGGGTGTAGCTGATTAGCTGTCTCCAAATGGTGAAAATAACTGGACAGTCTAATGCTGCTCTTACAATGGTCCAGAGTGGCAATGGACATGAACACCCTGTGAAATCAGTAGAAACTTCTGAATAATCAGAAAGTCAACATAGTTTGCATTATTAAACAAACATTTTCCAAAACTTTTTGGAGAGCAGAGGTCACCGATCATCAGTTGCAGTTAACATCAGTGCTTTTAGTACATTAACATCCAAATAGTTGTACTCCCACCCAGATTTAGAATTTTACAAAGCAACTGTCAAGTGATTAAAATAATTAATAGTAATTAATCACATTCTTTTGAACAGTTAATCATGATTAATTGCATTTGTCTTGTTTGCTCAAATTTGACCCCAAATAGAGAATTATCCATGTGCAAAGCTGTGCCGTTTATTATAGCTATGAGTATTTTTATCTGAACCTGAACATAAAACTGAAAATAAGGTGAACGCAGTTACTGATGTTCAGTGAGAGGAACACTGGCTCAGACAATTGCAGACCTCCTGCTCTCATTTTGCTGTTTTGTCTTAATTCAAGCTAAACTGGAGTATTCCACTTTGCTACTGAGTTCGTTAGTTTCTATCTTGCAAGCACTGTCCAGTGTAGTCTACCAAATTTCTGATATGGCTGCCATCAGAGGTATGTTTTGTTTGTAAATTATACTACAGTATGCTCAATGATAAACAAATGATAAACAATTTCACAGTTAGTGACGGTGCAGTAACTGGAAATAATGATGGTTTTATCAAGACAGCCATCGTGGGGCTGCAAATTAGCTTAAGCTAGTTGCCCTGTATACATTACATGTGTTGCATTCAACACCGATCAGGCATAACATTATGACCACCTCCTTGTTTCTACGCTCATCGTCCATTTTATCAGCTCCACTTACTATATAGGTGCACTTTGTAGTTCTACAATTACAGACTGTAGTCCATCTGTTTCTCTGTGTACTTTGTTAGCCCCCTTTTACCCTGTTCTTCAGTGGTCAGGACCCCCATGGACCCTCACAAAGCAGGTATTTTAGTGTGTGTTGTGCTGGTACGAATGGATCAGACACAGCAGTGCTGCTGGAGTTTTTAAACACCTCAGTGTCACTGCTGGACTGAGAATAGTCCACCAACCAAAAACATCGTCAACAGCGTCCTGTGGGCAGCATCCTGTGACCACTGATGGACTAGAGGATGATTAGCTCAGACTGTACAGCAAGAGATGAGCTATTGTCTCTAGCTTTACATCTACAGGGTGGACCAACAACGCAGGTGCACCTAATAGAGTGGACAGTGAGTGTTTAAAAAAAAACACTGTGTCTGATCCACTTGTACAAGCACTAACACACCACATGATCCACCACCCGAATAGTACCTGCTCTGTGAGGGTCCATGGGGGTCCTGACCACTGAAGAACAGGGTAAAAGGGGGCTAACAAAGTACACAGAGAAACAGATGGACTACAGTCTGTAATTGTAGAACTACAAAGTGCACCTATATAGTAAGTGGAGCTGATAAAATGGACGATGAGCGTTGAAACAAGGAGGAGGTCATAATGTTATGGTGTGTGTAACAATGCTGGCGGAGTGGCGGAGTCATAGCAACAGCGCTCCAGCAGCTGGGCTTCAGGGTAGAACTAAGATGGTTTGATGAGTAAAACTAGAAAAAATGTGTTAAAGATGTTAAAATAAATTGTGCCATTAATAATTTTTTTGTGTTAACCAATTATTAACTTTGACACCACTAGGTTAAATATAAGCCAAAAAGCAGGACAAATGTTTTTCATACTTTGAGATATGGATACTAATTATGCAAACCACCTGTTGCCTTATTGGATAAATTCATTTTGTTGGCTGCATTTATTTGCATGAAGACATGATTCATAAATGGTTACTTTAAAATAGTTACCTGTTATGCTATCTATGGCTCCACTCAACTTTTTCGATGCAATAACAGTGTTTCTGACACTGTATGAAATACTGTTATCTATAAAAATGAAAAAAAAAAAGTGCTGCATGCCCCAAAATCCAAAATGCTGTCTGTCGGATACAATGCAGCCATGCTGTACCAGTGTAAACGCACCGTCACTAGCATTAGCATTCCCAGTGGTGGTGACTCCATATTTTATGTGGTCGTCATTTTTTGAATGTACTTTTGTCCTTTTTTGTAGCATTTTTGTTCTCGTCACTGACTGTATTTCTTTCTTGGGTCAGCAGTTCCCATGAAAGGTTTTCAGTTTCTTTATTTTCTTTCTTCACTTATGTTAGTCATCAGCCAGTACCAAGCTACACATGCACAATGCTATACAGAGACATGGCATAGGCTGATTTATAATATATAATTACATGAAGTAATTACCATTATTAATGAAAACAATCATTTCATTAATAATGGTAATATTAATAAAATAGTGGGGTTGATTTAAGCTCACTTCAGCATTGTTGTGGCATGGTGCTATGTTGTGCTTGTTGTGACCCATGTCCTGGTACTGGCCTGGTGCTTGGAAGCCTCTGCTTTAAGGCCAGATGACAGTGACTGGACAAAAGTGAACAAGCAGGAAGATTCTGCCCTTAGAATGTAAAGAAAAAGACCTGACAAAAGAACCAGAGTGAATTAGGAGAGAACATTCTAGATAACACCAACCAACCAAACGTGTATGTTCGTTTTTGTCTGGTCAGTGTTCTCTTTAGGACAAAGGCTTTAGATCACCAATCTCAGCACAATGGACAGAACTAGTTGCTATGGAAGAACTTGAACTAAACACAGTAGAGTCCTCAACATTTGCAACCGAGTGTGCAAAGAAGGAATAGTTTGGAATTAGTTTGAGGAATCATTTGATGAAAAATCGAATTTACACAGTTTTCTTACTATTATTACAAGCACTAGGAACTGTCTTGCAGCCATATGTGTGACAGAATTACACCTGTGTTGTACAAATTTGCCTGTCTATTAAACCTGGTGTTCTAATTTAGGGAAACGTTGCCCTTTTTCCTCACGGACAGCTCTTCACAGTGCAGCGTCTGTAATTCTTTTACGCCACCGTGTCGTGTCTGAAGGATAAAGCCCAGGTCCATCAGAGTCGTATTTTCTCACTGGCAGCGTGACTCGTGGGTGTGCTTCCCCCTCGTTACGGAGCTGGTTTTCTACTCCCGGATGGACAGGGCTTGATTCACAGGGCCCTGTGGGCCTCTCCATCACGCGGAGAGCGAGGAATGTCAGCAATTATTCAGGCACGCTGAGGGACCCTCAAACTCACTCCACTGCCCGTCGCTGCCAGGGAGTGAGCGTGAGCGCCCTCGAGTCTTGTTGAGTGTTTCTTCTCCATCCATTTGGAGAGAGGAGAACTGAGAAACCAGAGCTGTAACACCAACAGCAGACGTCCAGAAAATGAGCGCTCATTTAATGGAGATGCTTCTACTTAAAGGAACGGTTGGGTGAAAAGTCAAATTGACACCCAAAGTTAGCCAATCACTTCATATTTCCCCATTTTTTCCTCCTTAGATCAGCCAAGACATGTTTAGAGTCTAATTAGTTACAGAATTGTTAAGTAATCTCAAACTGTCTTGCTTATGTGGTTTCTGACACTGTATGAAACACTGTTCTCTATAAAAAGGGACAAAAGTGCAGGTTTAGTTTAGGAGCGTTGTAGCTTGTACTGCTATTTGGTGAGGTAAAGGCTTCCTTTACTTGTTAGCAACACTACTTTCATAGAGTCTTGCCTTTTTGTGATATAATGGAATGATTTAGGCAATTTTTGCTGCACATGTATTCAGTCATCCAAGTTTTGCTTCTTTAGCTTAGCACTGGAGCTACAAGGCTAATGTAGCCATCAAACACAATAAGTCGCCAAGTAGTCACCCGAATCTTTCCTGTAAATACAATATTAAAAGTTTCAACTGTCAAACCATATCCAGGTCTTCATTAACCTTAATAGACCTTAATGTGACCTAGATATGGTTTGAGCAGGCCTTGTAGCTCCAGTGTATCTAAAAGACTAAACTAAAAAAGCTAAATTTAGACACCAAACACGTCTTGGCTGATATGGCATGCGCCCGTCCGCTGGGCCCCAAGGAGGCGGGGCTCAGGACTTGCGCGCCATCCCCCACTCCCGCGGATTTCATCCTCTCCCTGCTGTCTTTGTGGGGTTTCATCTGGGTTCGGAGTTCTGGCCCTGCCTTCCTGCCGGCTCTCTTGGCCGTCATCGGGACGGGCGCATTCCACAGCTGATTATCTAGAAAACTGTCCAATTTTTTGGTTTTGTGATTTTTTTTTCACAAAACCATTTCTTTAATATTGTTATTGAACCCTTAAACTACAAGGGTTAAATGTGGGTCCACACTCCCTTTAAGTCATAATGGCTGCTGCTGAGTTTGCTGTACTGTGTTAACAGCAGCTGTTCACTCCCAAGTCTGTTCAGTCAGTAAATGAAATTAAGCTGATCACCCTTTCAGCCTACAGTAGTGTGGTCTGCCTGATCTTGTTGAAGTGATACGTTGTTACTGTATGCATTGTGTAGATTTACTGCAGCAGCAGTTATTTTTTCAATGTGCCTGAAGATTTCAGTCTGAACCTTATAGTTTAGTCTGGCTTTTGATTATAGGAGAAACAATGCTAAAGCCTTTTTAAATTAGAGGTGTAATTGTAACATACAGCGTCCGTGCGTTTGCAGGAGGCATCATTTGTCCAAACACGAGCGCACTGCAGGAAGTGAGGAACTGTAACGAACACGCCTGCATCGTGTACCACTGGCAGACCGGTCCATGGGGGCCGTGTACGGAGGACACTTCGGTCACCACGCTCAACTCCACCACCACCAGCTCCAAAACCACTCCCTCTGGACCAGACAAGCCGTCCTGCGCCATGGGCATGCAGACCCGCAAGGTCATCTGCGTCAAAGTCAACGTGGGTCAGGTCCCTCCAAAAAAGTAAGACCTCATGTTTGATTTAATATTTACATATGCTAATGTTGCTAACCGTTTATGTTAGTGGATGGTGGATAGCCATTAAGTAAAATCATGCAAATGGAATCATGCTAATTGGAGATGACTAGCTTCCTTTCATTGTTAGCCATGTTAGCGTATTTGATGAACTCCTTGATGGCTTGAAGTGTTTCAGAATTGATTGAAATTTCTAGTTATTATGCAATTCATTGTATTTTTATTCACATTTTTTATGTGATTTGCAAATAAGGATATAAATAACAAAAAGTAATCCAGACCTTTTAAACCAACAAATACAAAAACAGGCGGCCCAGCATTCACAGAGTCATAATACGAGCCAAACATTATCCACTTCTTCAGTTTCAGGTACAGTCTTATGTTAAACTTCACAAATAAATCGAAATTGTGCAAGTAAATATTAAAGTGTGTACCCTGTAGAGTATGTGTTAACTTACTTTCACTTCAAATCAACAATAATTTGACTGAGGATGTTCAAACTTTTGCATACAACTGCACATCCAAACATGTGCAACTCTCACTGTTTTGGTTTTCTAAGAAATTGTTAGAAACCTTTTAAATTAAGTATATTCCATAACAATTTATTTGATGGCTGCAACTTATAACACATTTATAAACATTGAATTACATATATATATATATATATATAAGGCAAACTTGAGTCTGTATGAACAACTTATGCCATTAATCGCAAGATGACATACAACATTTTATGAAGTAAATGACATTATATGTACTTAAGGCCTTATCCTATAACAACATCTGTTCCATTTGTCCAGCCAAGCCAGCGAATACTGCAAGTCAGTAAGAGCATATAAATATTAAATAAAAGTGGCCCAAGAACTGATCCCTGTGTTACACCATAGGTGATTGTAATTAGAGCTGACTGCATCCTAATAACTGTCACAAACTGCTGTCAGTTACTCAAATAAGACTGAAACCAGGATTGTGCAAGTCCAGTAACACTCACAGGACTGTGCAGGCACTCCACAAACTCATTTTGCAAATACTTTTTGAATTGAATTAAATTGAAAACAGAGGAATATTTACCACTGTGTTACATCACCATTCCTTTTAACAACATTCAGTAATCATTTGGAAACTGAGGACATGTGGAGGACATTGTAATTGTGAAAGTAGAATTTTTGTAGCAGGCCAGTCTAGCACCTGCTGTTGTGGCACGTGGATTGGCATTGTCTTGATAAAACAAGCAGGGACATCCTTGAAAAAGACATCTAGATGGTAGCATAGGTTGCTCTAGAAATTATTTATTAAAAGTGCCTTCAAATATTTGCAATTTACCCATGCAAATCGCATCAGCATGACCTTGTACCATGACAGATGCTGGCTTTTGAGCTTAAGTCACAATCGGGATGGTCCTTTTCCTCATTGGTCCGGAGAACGCAACATTCATTATTTCCAAAAACAGTTTGAAAGGTGGATTTATCAGACCACAGCACACATTTTCACTTTGCATCAGTCCATCTCAGATGAGCTTCATCCCAGAGAAGTCAGCGGCATTTCTGGATGTTGTTCATATATGGCTTATGCTTTGCATTGTACAGTCTTAACCTGCATTGTAAATGCAGAGACAGTCTGTGTTTACTGACAAGGGTTTTCTAAAATATTCACGAGGTCACAGGTGTTCAGTATTGGTTTTCAGCCTTGCCCTGTAAGATTTCTCCTCTGAATCTTTTAATAATGTTATGGACTGTAGATGGAGAAATCCTCAAATTACTTGCAGTTGTGTTTTCAGAAACTCCTGGACTATTTACCCACAGTGGCAACTGAGCCCTTCATGAATGCGCCTTTTATACCCAATCATGATCGCATCACCTGTTACCTGTTCACCTATTTGCCTGTTGAACATTCCAAAACAGGTGTTTTTGACCATTCCACAAACATCCCAGCCGTGCAATGCCCCTGTCAAACCTTTTTTGAAAGTGTTGCAGGCATAGAATTTGGAATTTCGTTTATATTTACAAAAATCAATGAGGATGATGAGGTAAAAGATTAAATATCCCTTATTTGTGCTGTTTTCAATTAAATACCTGTGAATAAAAAGTTTACAAATCATCGTTTTTTCCTACTGTTCCAACTTTTTAGGAGCTGGGTTTGTAAGAAAGATAGCAGACAGACAAGGCGAGGATGATTTTTTTTGTTATGTTTTTGCATGTTTGTATATGCATTGAGTATACACGATTTAGCATACTGGCTATAAACATCATGATGATGCTGTAATATGCCTACATTTTTGCCACTTAGTGATCCTTTGATAACTTTGACTGATTACTTTATTAGTAGGGCAAAGAACGCATCAAAATACTCAACCCCATTCTCGAGTCCCGGAGTTGCTGAAGAGTCTCAGAGCGGGCTAATGAGAAATATGCAGTAGGGTTTTTTTTTCCTTTACTTCTTCACATTAGAGCATGAGCGTATGTGTGTCTCTCTCTGTGAGTGGCAGGCACAGATTGCTTCAGGGAGAAGGCAGCCTGTGCTCAAAGCCTATCTCTCTACTCCAGGCAAAACTAGGCTAGAGAAAACTGAATAAACATGGAGCCACAAACAGGCTAATTAGTCCAGTCATTTTCAAACTGCTTAATTTTCCATTGATGATAATGGCAGTAATTAAGTGGGTTTGATTTTTTAATGCAATTTAATCGTTACAAGATGAGCAAAATCTCCATGAGCGACACAAACAGAGCACCTAAGATACAAACCAGTCTAGTTAGGAATTAGATAAGCATGCGTTGTGGACTCCCTCTTAGACAGAATAATTCAGTGAAAAATCGAATTTTCTCCTTACAGATATCAGACACGCTGTCCTAAGCTTGCTTTAGTTTTGCGCTGGAACTACAAGGCTAATGTAGCTAACAAGGAAGCAAAAAGCATGCCTAAGTAACTAAACTTACTTTGTTGTTGTTGTTAATCTCAAATAGACTTGCTACTGTGGTTTCTGATAAAGTATTGGCAAAAGTACATTGCATAGCTAAAAACAGTTGTTGCACAGCAGCCATTGTGAAGCCTGAATTTTGTCTATACTTTTGTCCACTTTTATAGGTAACTGTATGTCATACAGTCAGAGAAACCACATAAATAAGTCTGTTGGACATTACTTAGATAGGAATTCCACATTTTTTACATTTTCTGCATTATTAATTGTTAAGTTGTAAACAAAGTAATTCAGAGTGGTTTAATGTGAAATGCTCAGAATTATTCACAGTGGTGGTGATAGGAACCAGACGTTTAATCCCTCTAAAAGCTCCCTCACGGAAACACAAAATGATTACAGATATGCCGCCTGACAACTGAGACATTGTTTTAGAGTAATTTTGAGATAAAGTATTTTTTTGAATAGATTTATGATGGAGGGTACGGTACTGTGCCAAACTTAGATTCCAGGCTTTCATTTATTTACTTTTTAGTCAGAATGGCCATTAATTGCAAGTTATTCATTTTTCAGTGGCAGCATAACAGAAAACATAAGTCCAGCAACTCCGCCTATTGCCTTTATTACTGCCATTCTTTTTTTCAGGAGAAATCTTCACAGGTATTTTATCACACCTCCAAAGTTTAGTCTTAGAAGCTGGTTGCATTTTCTGCTTTTCACAGTGCAAGTAATCTAAACACCATCAGTTGAGGTCTGGACTCTGAGGTGGTCAGTCCATTGTTCTGAACATCAGCATCTTTTTTTTCCTTTTCTCAATGAGGCTTCTTGACAGCTACACATCCTTTCAGACCCATAGCGCTGAGTCGTCTTCTCACAGTGGAAGGATGGACAGAAACACCTGTGGCTTTTTTTCAGATTTGAAGCAGCTTGATTTTCTTCTCTCTCTCAAGGATGGAAGTGCTGTTTATCTGATGGGGATAGTATTGGTGTCTACCGGCTCTTGCAGGTGGTTGTTAGGAGTCTCATTTTCTCTGTAGGTTTTAATCATTTTTTGAACTAATTTCTTTGGAAACTCCTGTTTTTTTTAACTTATTTTCATTTGACTTTCCCATTCCATATTCAAGTGAATTACCTCATGTCTCATGAATGTCTCCTGAAAAATATAACTTGTACTTAATGATCGTTTTGAATGGAAATTAAATAAATGAAGAGCGATCTTTGACGTTTGCCGTTCTGTGCATGCAGGACTTTTTAAAGCAAAACAGCCCCAATTAACTATTTTTTTTTAACATTATCATTATTACATATAAAAAGTAAGAAAACAGGCTTGGGTACATTGGTTAGTTTGGATAGGACATAAAATGGCTAGTAATTGTGGCTGGTGGACCCTGTGACACCTGGTTCCTGAAAGAAATCAGAATACATTTCTCTTCAAGAAACTAGTTCTCATCAAACCCCTCTGAATGACTGAATGATTTGTTTTTATGCAGAACTTTTGAAAAATGGGTAGAATTTCATTCAGTGGATACACGCTTGTTAGCTACGTTAGCTTCTTATCCGAAGCAAACTTAAGACACCAAATGTTGCTTGAACGATGAAAAAAAGTGTTCAAATTATTATTTTTTTTTTGCTGAACTATTTTTTTTGCGTTCAACTACATTAGTATCTGAGCTTTCTGGAACATTCCATCCACTAGCCTTTCGCTATCTGCCGTACAGCTGAGCACTGGCTCACGTTGAGCTAGGCTTCAGTGCGGCTCTGGGCCGCCGGCCACACGCTGTCACTCACTCTGTCAGTCTGAGGCAGAAATCACAAAGCAGACAGGCTGAGGCGTCAAAACCTCCGGGCCCGGGCCTTTGATGTTCCACACAGAAAGTGACGACTGGCGTTAGAATCCCACTCTCGCTTCACGCCGTGCCACTCTTGACAGCGTGTCCTTAAAGCTGCCGATTTTGCCACGTAACCTCCATCCAACCGAAAAGTTCTCGCTTACAAGATCAAATTAAGAAGAGTGATTAACACAGCGCCAGTGGTTCAAATGGTTTTTCCAAGCCGTGCTAATGATCTGTTTTGGCAA